TTTTGAACAGTACCGGAAAAGACAAGGAATATCACAGCATATGGGCCAAAAATGGCCACAAGCTGAGGAGGCTAAGGAAACCTAAGAAAAGCTGAAAGGAACCTAAGTAAAGCAGAATAAGTCCAAGGCTCCTGGTCGCATGTAGCAGAAAAAGTTTATGGAAAGGGTTGGGGAGGTGCTGAGTGGGTCGTCTATAATAGGGTTATCATTGGGCTGCGGCATTGGTAGCCGAAAGAGTTTCTTTGATCCTGCCTAAAAAGACTGAAACGTTTGAACGCCTGGAAAATGGAGCAACGGTAAAGAAAACTTACCGAAACCAAAGAAAACCAACACGAAACAACGCCTGGAAAATAGAGCAACCGTAAGGAAAACCTGCACAGACTAAGCTAAGCAAAGCTAAATAAACCTCGAGAAGCCGCAACAAAGATTGAATAAGGCTAAGAAAAGCTAAGAAAAGCTAGAAAAAATTCAATAATTCCTAAATTTCGCGCCTGCCCCCAGACGTTTTTCTTTCAGTAACCGTAACCTTCCTAAACAACACTGGAGCCTCTCACAGGCTCTGTAGCCCACTTTTGAAACATCATGCAGTGAGCATTCACATGTCAAAGTCTCAGTCTAGCAGGCTTAATTTAGGGGTTTAGGGTTTAGGGTTTAGGGTTTAGGGTTTAGGGTTTTAGGGTTTAGGGTTTAGGGTTTAGGGTTTAGGGTTTAGGGTTTAACACTGGAATGATCTCTCATTTGCCCTGCTAGCGTGAATTCTAAGCAAAGGGTTTATTTTGGAAAATTTCAGTTCCGTTACTCGTGGTCTGCCAGTGAAAAGGTACAAGTGGGCGCCCAATATATATATATATATATATGTTCATACACATACAGACATACATACATACAAACATACATGCGTACATACAAACGAACATACACACTTACTTACATACATGCAGACAAATAACAGTCTCATGCTTTACACGTATATGCCTTCACGTATATAAAGTACAGAAAAGTTTACATGCTTATGCATACATGAATATCTCCATATATCCGTTGTGATGTGTACACATGTGTATAATTGTATACCTATGCTGGTAATCACATGTGCATATACATGTGTAAATACATATATACATACACACTTGGATGTACAGATAGACTATATATATATATGTATATGTATGTATACATATATATATATATATATATATATATGCATAGGCACATGCTGTTCGACTCGGCTTCATTATCTCCCCAACAACCTGCCTATGTTTCTTAAGGCCTCTATATCAGACAACAGGAGGGCAACTCAGCAGATCCAGGCCAGAGGCATTTGCTTAATATAGGGGGCCTTCAAAATTACCTCTAGATTTTTTTATTATAGTATACTATACCCCCAAGCCCTATTCTAATTATTAAGGCCCTATACGGGTGTTTCTAACTCGAGCGCGGACACAAGGCCGACAACGTAAACGAGCGGCAACAGCCTAAACCCTAAACCCTAAACCCTGAACCCTAAACCCTGAACCCCTAAACCCTAAACCCTGAGCCAACTTTTCATCTGAGCCCCTGGGACCTGGGTGCTTTGCCGTGCTGAGATGTTGTGCTACGGCTGATGATCTATATCCCGCATTACTACCCATAATAAGGAATGTAATAGATGTATGATCCCTTCTACATTCTTTACTACGTAGTTCCCGGCAGTGTAATAAGGAATATACCATAATTCCCATAGTTTAGGGTCCTTAACGTAACTGCAGAATTTCTATCATAAAGACTAGTCCAGGTGTTGTAGTGTTTGCAGTAGAAGGCTGAGGGGGGAGGTGGTCAGCCGACCGGATGCGTGATGCATGCCACTAGAAGTGGAGACTTGGCCGGTTTAGGGTTTAGGGTTTAGGGTTTAGGATTTTGGGTTTTGGGTTTAGGGTTTAGGGTTTAGGGTTTATAGATTATAAATCATAAACTCTACATCCGTAGCCTAAGCTGCAAAACCTAAGCCCGAACGAACCCTAAAGCCTAAAGCCTAAGCCCTAAACCCTACCCACCAGGAGTCCATGCTTGTTTCCAATGCCGCTTAGCAACAAGCTGCACCCTCAGTGGCGGGGTTTAGGGTTTAGGGTAGTTGTGGGGTTTGGGCTTTAGGGTTTAGGGTGTAGGGACGGAGCATACTGGCCGAAACAGCAGGAGTACGCACACATTGGTTACCTTGTTCCTCTTTTAGACCTTAACCATAATATAGCTTCACCCCCAAACGGGGCGCCATAATTTAGATAGGTGCTGCAAACACAGTTCGTTTATTTCAGCTGCAATCGCTTAAGGGCTGAAGAGGATTACAACTCCGGGTGCAGATATTAAGCGTGTAGCGGTGTTGATGCACAAGATCGTGCATTCTCCATGGTAAGAACAGAGTGTACCATAATTACTTCCTGATATTGCTACTCAAGGTCATACAGGAGTTGGTCTGTCAGCATTATGGTCGCGGAGCACCGCTCTTAAGGACCAGGGCTTCAATGGAGAGACAGGCTCAAGCTTGGTGGTAATATAGATTGCAATTGCACTCTACATCTTAACCCTAAAACTTATGCCCTAAACCTTAAACCCAATGCCCGAAACCCTAAACCCAATGCCCGAAACCCTAAACCCTAAACCCAAAGCCCTAAACCCTAAACCCCAAGCCCGAAACCCTAAACCCCATGCCCTCAACCCCCAACCCTAGGCGCAGGGGTTTTGGACCCTGAGGTTTCTGGCTTTGCTCTTTATAGGTCGTTCTCCGGAAAGTTTGATGATGCATACCTCTGGCCCAAAAGACCTACCTTCTTTTAAGGAGCTCTTTATAGAAACCTTAATAAGGAACTCCACAAACGGCTGCGTTGATGCGTTCCCACGCTTAAGTACCAACATAACTTACGTAGCCTCCTACAGCTCGTGGAACGACAAGTGTCTATGGGCCAACCCTAAACCCTAAACCCTAAACTCACTATGGGCCGGATATAGTTCAGTTCATGCTTTGTTGTGCTTCGGTTCCGCATCTCCGCATCTCCGGGTCGCCTTTACGAGCAGTTTAATTCCTATGATAGGGTTTAGGGGTTTAGGGTTTAGGGTTTAGAAATTTCTTCTACTATTACTGCCACTATTGTTATTGCTAGCATCAGTGGTATTCTTTTTAGTGAGGTGCATCCTGCTGAACGGCCGCGCTGCAGCGATGCGGCGAGAGCCGCACCAGGCAGCAGTCAACGTCTGATTTGTTGAGTGTTTAGGGTTTAGGGTTGAGGGGCGAGGGTGTAAAAAAGGGACCTAAAGAATGTACCTATACTTTTTGGGGGGTTCCTCATTATCATTGTAGTATAACATACCCCGAAACCCTATTCTAGTTATTAAGGCCCCTATGTTAGAGTTGGTGGTTCGGAGCGAGGTTGGTGGTGCTCATATTTGGGAATCTACGCTGGCACCGTCAGAGATTCGAGCTGGGGCTTGTATGCTCGACTTTCTGTGAGACTTCAAGCTTGGCACCCATGCTTGAAGACGTGGTGGTTCAGACATGTCGGTGTGAATGTCGGTGTATGCAAGTATGGCGTGTGGCAGCCGTCCGTCTCTCTCTCTCTCTCTTTATCTCTATCTCTCTCTTTATTGTTCCTTCTTGTTCTATTTACTTTTCTGTCTTTGTCTCTTTCTGTCCTGCTCTCTCTCTCTCTCTTTCAAATATGTCAGATGCACATGTTGTGTAATGTATGCCCAGGTACATTGTAGAGATATGATGAGGGATGATGAGGGATAGGTCAGGCATACAGTACCGAGGTGCAACTATAGTTTAAGCTTAAGTACAGGCAGACGCATCCTGATACATATATATATATATAT